GATTTCAAGGCAGCAGCGGGCGTAATAAAAATAAAGAAAAACTTTTATTTTTTTCTGGAATTTCCATTTTCTCGAGGCTGCAGGTGCGTTAATTTTTATTTGAAATCATCATTATTGGCGGGCAGTGAGTTTGCTAATCAAGGTATTAAACGTCCACCTTAGATGAACAGACTCCAATAATATTTGAATTGTTTTCTATATAAATTGCTATTGTTCAATTTTAAATTAGAGCAAGAAAATTTTCTTGCAATTAATATCAGATGCATAAATAATACTATAAAACGGTCTTAACTGGTATCTTAACTCCTCAAATAAAGCTGGCTTTATCAATTAGACGGTCTTACTGAAGTCAATGTGGTTAATGGTTAATGGTTATTAATTTATAGAACGCAAAATACAAAAAGTCTCTAAGCGCTAAGATGGAACGGAAACCAAAACCACAAAATAAAAAGAAGTGAAATTTGAATACCATGCCAGCACCCAAACCGAAGTATGGGGATACGCCCTCATCGCTGGCTAGGGTTCAATCTAATTGAACTAGTCAGCACCTGTTGAGTCTCGGCCATCTCTAATTCGGGCGCCTCCTAGTTAAAGCTATAAAAGCTAGCTGGCATGGAAATAGAAAAAAAAAATTAATTAAAGGGACGAGAATAAGTGGGTCTTAAGTCGTTCTTTGAAAATGGTGACAGAAGGTGACTCACGAATAAATAAAGGTAACAAGTTCCACAACTTGGGCCCAGCAACCATAAACGATCGATGTGGAAAGACGGTTGCTATAAAATGGTTATTCGCTTTCAGTATTGAAACTCAAACAAGTACTCCCTGGTAACATAAAATTGAGGGCGCTGTTAGGCTTGCTCAAAACATTCATATTTATAAAAATGAACATAAATAAATGTAGACTATTTTTTATAGACACTGGGAAGCTTGTGGAATATTCGTCATTCAATTCTTTGTCTTTGACGATCTAGGCCTAGGAACGCCATGATGAAAATGATTTCGAGCAGGCTTTAAAATTTAAGACGGCTATATATATATAATCATATATATATAATCATAGACCAGTATTGATGCCATGATTAAAGCCGGCTAAGCGTTCAGACCGCTTATAAATAGCAATCTGCTATTAAAGATCACCTCCAGTTAAAAAGCACTTTTCCATGGTCCCAAATTCACAAATGTTTTTATCTTTATTATAGGGACCAAAGCTGCTAAAGACCATGGAGGGAGATCTGTATTCTAAACTTCTTTGTATAGCCTACCCTTGCAGTAAATTTTAAGAATGTATGTAGACGCAAGTTTACATTATAATCGTTAAATACCCCTGAACTTATCAATGGCTAACTGATCATGGTCAGAGTTCGCAAACTCTGAAATTGTCTCAGTTCCATTCCATTTTATGATTGTTTTATCAAGGTCAAAAATGGAATACATGCCAAATTTCCATTTTCACAGGTACAGTACTGTACTGTATTTTGACACACATTACTGTATGAATGTTTAATTTATTGCAATTTTGCAAAATCACTACATTTACAATTCATTTGTTTTAAAAACTGTCTTATAACAGCACTGCATTCTACTATGATTACGCACCATAAATAATTGGATTAAAGGTCAGTCATAAACCTGCCTCATGATATTTTTCACATGACACTAATTTGCCCCAAACTTGGTATTCATTAAGTTATAAAGACTAAACAAAACCTTGTCCAACATTTAAAAATCATTATAACGTATAGCCCCAACTTATCACTGGCAACTGATCATGGTCAGAGTTCAAAAACTTTGAAAAGAAAGTCTAAGTTCAGGTCTAAATTCCCATTTTCACAGGCAATCGTCTGCGGCGGCGGGTTACTTACTGTACTTGTACACTTTAATTTGACTAAATATAAACAAAATTGGAACGTTAATAACACTTCATTTAATGATGATCTAATAGAAACTTATATTAGGTGTTTTAAATACTAATATTGATGGCGTCATCATCCGTATGTGGCGTGCGTAAAACTGAGGTACGTAAAAAGAGGGTTCTACTGTATGACAAATTCCCATTTTCACATGTACTGTATTTTCACACACATTATGTCAATTCATTCAAATTTTGCAAAATCAATGAATTTGTTTTAAAAACTGTCTTATTTAGCACAGCATTCTACTATGATTACGCACCGTAAATAATTGGATTAAGATCATTAGGTTATAAACCTGCCTCAGTTATATATTTTTCCCATGACGCTAATTTTCGCCAAACTTGGCATTTTATTAATTCATTATAAAAGGATAAAATCCTTGTCCAACGTTATATTAAAAATCGTTCTAACATCTACCCCTTATCACTGGCTAACTGGTCATGGTCAGAGTTTATAAACACTGACAACGAAGTCTAAATTCAGGTCTAAATTTCCATTATCAAATATTCCACTACTTACAATGACATTTATCATTACAAAATCATTACACTCACAATACATTCTTTTAAAAAAAACTGTGTTTTTTATGCACAGTAGCACTACATTCTACTATGTAATTATAATATCGGCGCTGGTTGAACGGCACACTCTCCTATGGATCTGGGGGTGGAACAATTTTTTTCGGATAAGGATTTTAAACAGTAGGCCAATCTGCTAATCTGGTGGTAGCCACTGTGTGTGCCAGCATACTCCTGTAACAGTGTTCTCCCCAGGATGATGGTCAAGCATCATGGTACCTGCCCCACCCCCCTCTCCCACCATGGTTGGGGGAAATTTCTTAAAGTAATGACCTAAATTCCCGGAAATGGCACTCTCAGACATCAAAGATGCTTTTTAAGATTTTGGAAATGACTATAGATTTCCATTTTTTAACAAATTTTTTTGTGAAATTATTGATCATACACTTTTTTTTTTTTTTATAAGAACCAGTAAAAATTTGCCCAGGCTCAGTCTTATTTTTTGGCTGATTTCAGGCTCAAAATGTTCTTATTTTGTTCTTAGTTTACACACCTTTACACACAATTATTTAATTGTACGGCAGTATGCACTGTACTGGAATGTAGGTGAAAGTGACCCCACAAAAAATGGCCCCCTAATGTCAGTTTATAGAGGGTATTACAGTCACAACTACTGCACATAATGTACAGATATAATATTTTGGTTTTTAAAAATATAAACCTCCTTCATTTGAAATTTTATCTCAGCCTCAATTCGTTCTTATTTTGTTCTTAATTTTTAAGCAATTTCAGCCTCAGTGTTCTTATAAAATGTGTTCTTATAAAAAAAAAAGTGTATTGTACTACTAGTATAGCCTAGCCAGAGTTGCCACAGGATGGTAATTTTGCGCTGACCTAGTTTAGGCCTGTAGGCCTAAATATTTGCTTCAAACTGCTTGGCAAGTCAAAATTTGGGACTAAAACAAGCCAGTAGTATTAGCAGAACGTAAATTTTACGTACAATTGTGCGTGAATCGTATCGTATCATGCATGGGTACTTTTGAAGCAAACAGTTTGTGTGAATCAAGCTAACAATCGTGTTTTTAAATAAAAGTGACATTTCTCAAGGTAAAGATAACGCAAAAATGAACGCAAAAAGATCAAGCATGAACTTGGGCTAATAAACCAACATCGTAAGATAGCATTGTTTTGTGTTTAAAAATATTTTCACACTCAACTCTTTTTACAAACTAAGATACATGGACAGCATTGTTTATTTTGAATTATTTTATTGACGATATTTTAAAGCGTCACTGAAGACACATCAAGCGTCACGGCCTGCTTTGGAGCATCACGGTGAAGTCCCAAGCGTCACAGTGCCGTGACGCTTCAAGGGCCTGGGGAGAACACTGCTGTAAGCTCCAAGATTAGGCTAGAAAAATTATCTATTTTTTTTAGAAAAGTAGCAGATCAGATTTAAATATTTGGCTGGCCGGAGTTGACCCCCACGGCCGAGAATTGAATACCAGGGCTCTATAGGTCATGCCCACCTCTAAAGGTGAAGTATGTGACATTATTGCCTCTACCTTGGCATTCCTTGAAACATATTTCATAAAAGATAAAAAAATCAAACATTTTTAAAAACTTTCTAACCTCTACCTCTGAACTTATCACTGGCTAATTGGTCAAGGTCAGAGTTCATTAACTCTCAAAACAAAGTGCCAAGTATCCTACTAATTAGACACCGTTTGACTCATAGATTTGTCAGGTGAGACCCATTGAACTGCAAGGTGACCTGCTGCTTTGCAGGTATTTGGTGACAGATAGGAATATGATGTCACAAGATAGGCTAACCTTCGTTTGGGAGGTCCAACAGCACCCACATAAAAATGTTACCATGCTGTACATTGGAGAGCATATCTTTTTTAATTTGTAATAAATAGGTTCAGCATTTTAAACTTAAAATACTAAAAACTATATACGGTCATTAAACGTGAATATCTAAAGATCCCACTTTAATATCCCATCTCCCACCTCAATATCCCACTTCCTTCTCAATATCCTATCTCCCAACTCAATATCTTCCACCTCAATATCCCATCTTCCACATCCCTTATGTCACTATCTCATCTCCAGCCTCAATATTCCATCTTCCACATTATTATTACATCTGAACCACTATCCTTTCCTTACTTCTGTGTCATACTAAAACAAATACCTTAGTTCCTCTGGTATACTGTAAGCCCACCCCATTGAACACAAAATTGGGACAAATTTGAGGAAAGGGCTTATACAATGGGAATCCCCATTTCAACCAAAAGGCCACTTTTCAGCACTGCATGTCGAATTCAAAGCCAAAATTTGAGAAGTATTCATAAAAGTCAGCTCATTCAAATCATACCCTGGGCTTTTGCTGGTACGTAAATTTGAGTATTAGGTACAAAGTGGGATTATACCCAAGGAAGGTATACCCGAGGTGGGCTTATATCTGAGGAGGAGGGTGGGAGGTGGGCAAGGTAGAATTACGGTTATACATTAATTGTTCACTGATGATACATGTATCCAATAAAACTTTAAATATTAGGCTTACCTTTCATATGCATCTTATAGTGTGTGTTGACCTCTCGCTGGGAGCCTGATATTGCTGTATCTGAAACTATAAAAAAAGATAAGAATATTTATTAAAATTATTCCATACGGTGTATGTATGCAAAACCATCAAAATTATTAGATAACCTTGGTTCAATTCAATAGCGCACTTTTCAATAGTGCGTTCTTTTGAAAACGATGTTCACAGTAAATCCTGTTTTCCACTCGGCAAATTTATTCGTGTGAATCAAAAGTGTCGGTTCATGCACATCACATTTGCTTCAGCGCAAATATCAGTAGTTCAAACTGTTTCTACTTTTTGCGAAGCGTAAAAATGCGCCATCAATCAGAGCACAGGAAGTGAACCGATGCTTTCAATTCGCACAAACAAATTCGCCTATTGGAAAACAGGCATAAGTCATTAGTAGAACACTATTTGTAATAGAGAAGGAAATATTTGCTGGTGTATTGCTCTGCCTATTGGACCTTTCTGTTAGCCCTGTCACTTGAATATTGTTGCTCTGGTCCAACAAAAAGATAGCGTAAACGTATGTAAACATGTGCATCTGTGGGACACACTGTTTTTTTAAACAAGCGCGTATTCTTAGAGATGATCTGATTGGTCAGTTGTCAAGTTTGACTGACACTGCAGGAAGGTACACCGATCTTCAGAAGGATCCCACTGGAAATAAATCTTCAGGCTTATGTTAGTCATCCACTTTTTCACACTAAAAAATCCAATCCAATGTTCTTTTTTTATGCTATGCTCACCTGTATTTTCCCAACTGGACGCATTTTCTCAGAGTATTGCATAACATGCAATTAAGAAAACTATGCCATGTACAAGCACGTATGCTGATGAAAATTTTTTCTAAATGTTCAGATTTCATTCGACTGTCAGATAATGAGATAAAATCCTCCATAGATGACAGGTGTGTATAACTATTATTAGAAATGTCAGATAATGTAATTGATTTTATGAAAATGAAATATAGTTTGATTTCAAACTGAGTTACAGGATGTTCAGGTGAAATTTTACCAATCTCATGTTTTTATATTACATAAGTTACACGTTTTAAATTATTACATTACTTTAGATTTATTGTATAAGAGACAGTATATATTCAATCCAATTCTTTATTCCACAAATTTCACAATATAAACATACTTTTTACATATCACTTTTTTTTCAAAATATGTGGAAAAGGGTATCCCACCACAAGCATTGCTCTACATGTGGGACCCTTAAAAACTAAACTAAACTATTGTATCCTTTTAAGGTAAAACAAGAATTATTTTATATTTTGTTATAAAGAAAATTTATTTAAATTTTGAAATAAATATATAAATAAATATCACCAAAAAAGGGTGGGGGAAAAATTCTTATTTCTTTTTTGTCTAATTATTAATACTAATTACTCATGGGGATATTTAAATTTCTTGGGGAAAAAAAAAAGGGGGGGGGGGGGGGGTGCAGCAGCCACTCCAAGACATGAAACACCTGTGCTACCTATTTTACTGAAAATAATTAGGGACTTAAACTACTATGATGGGCCATGTAACCTACCAAATTAAACTTGCACTGGTTCCCGATGGCGATTAAGACCGTGGTTCTGTCTGTTTGCAATCCCTTGTTCATGGCTATGTATCAATGGTAGGTTTAGCACAGAGGTTAGCAAAAACTCTTTAAAAAATTGTGTGAAAAATTATGCTACTTTGATACGGGACTGAGCAGGGACTTACCTAGGTATTTCCCACACTTGTGCCAAGTCCTCGCAAAGTACCAAATACACCCTATACATGCTGAAACTCTTCCATAAATTCTCACACTTGTGCTACCTAGTCCTAAAAAATACCACTGTAAATACGACACCTACCCGTATAGAAATATATGAGTGAGCCCCCCGGGTATTTGACCTAATATGAACAACTTTAGATTCATAATGAACATGAAATAAGCAAGTCTTTTGCTTAATACATTTTTTTTAACATTACATATATGAAATAAAAATTAACATATTATATGCTGGTATTTATTATTATCCACAGATGCATGCAACGTTTGATAAACAGATTACTTATAATCCGCTATTAATAATATCTTCAACTTGATCTAAATTTAGATAATGCAAATCCACAATAGCCTTGCAAATGACGTAAAAGTTGGATTGGATCCATAGATAGAACTCATCAAACTGCTCATCTAAATCTTACAAATCAAGGGAAGGGGGAACGGATGGATATAATACTAGAGCCTTTGAACAACAAGGGGACATGGTCAAATAATAATAATAATAATAATAATAAGATTGTTAGTAAATTTACTAAATTACGTTTCATCACGTTAGACTGAACATATTTTGATGAAATCATTAAAAATACACAAACATAAAATAGATTTTGATGAATGGGTAAATTTGTTCGGTGTAAACACCAAGGATAACTCATAAAAGGCTGAATAAGACTTATTTCCAGTGGGTCATTCTGGTGGTGATTGGGCAGTACACTGGGAGACAGTCCCGTATTCTTTTCCGCACTCAGGACTAATGGCTTAAATGGCTCATCCAAAAGACGGTGCGCTATCGTAACTTGCATTTCAGCTCTCCAACTGAAATACAAGGAGCAGTGATGGGAATTGAACCAGGGACCAAGAGATCTCCATGGTGCACAGTGGCAACGAATAGTTTAGCCCACTGAGCTAAGCTGCTCTCTTCTAATATACAGTATATGACAGACTTTCAAAGTACAATCCAAAGGTCCCTGGTTCGATCATGAAAATTCCTAATTTTGATTGTATAAAAGGCATAGCTAATTGAATTGCTGGTCTTTCAATCTCAGGGTAGAACATTCAAATCTAGTATTTCTTTAAACAATATCCCCACTCAAGCCTTGTAATTAGGCTTTGTATAAAACACCACATTATTGTACTTCATGTATGTAAAAAAACATTATTAAAAACAATTACAGAAATTAATTATTCTTTACAAAAAAAAATTGTATGAAACTTTTTCCCGGAATGCCCTCTGAGATTTGGACGTGGTGCTTATGTTGGTTGGTATAACGATTTGGCGGAATACACAAATATCTATATCTCGTTTGAGAAGCAACTCAGAGCTGAAATTTATTACTGAAGCTTTCCCAATAAATTAATGCAGCCAAATATTGTAATTATTATCAGGCCATAAGTGGATGTGGTATAAAAGTGCTAATCTAAAATTAAGTCTGGATGATTGGAGTAGTCTACGTATATATCATACGATCTCCTCAAGATATCTTATCTTTTATAAATGTTCGTTAGCAACATTTCAACAAATTAATTTTATTTCGGTTTTGAAACTGATACCGAACGAACATTCACAAGCCAATTTCACAAATTCACAACAAAAATTGTCCACAAGGTCACAACATTAATTAATACCTTCACGCTACATTTGTGTTTCATCTTTATCATTATTCTATAATGTACATGGACTGTCATCATTTTAAATGGTTTTTTTTTTCTCATTTTATTATAATTAAAAAATAACTTTTGGTTGATAATGATTCAATGCATTGTCTTTTTAATAAAAAAAAATTTAATTAATCAACTTAGAATTAATCAACTGTGGCTAGAATGAAAATAGAGTAACTATTCTAACCGTTTATATTGTCATTATTTTTAATTTGCATGCTAACTTAATAATAATATGATATATAATAATAATATGATGTATAAATTACACTGAATAAAAACTGAATAAAATAATTAGAATCTATTGGAATTTTTCTGGATTACGGTAACTTTCTTCTTCATTGTTAAATTATGGATATTAGAGAACATTACCGGTATATAAAAAAAAATTCTGAACACTATATCCAATATTAATAATAATAAATATTATTCACAGTAACAGTTCGACTATGTGAAAACACTTGGCAATCCACAGGAAAGGATTTTACTACTTTGATTTTAAAATAATTTCAGTAAGAGGCTGGTAGTCACTCCCACCAACATCAAGACAGCAATGGTATAGCATCAATAACTTCCATCCCAAGATCGGCTTGGGGCTCCCATTACCTAGCACTACAAAAGGAGGTGGGAGGGAGGGGGAGGGGTGAATTTGCGGAGCTAAATCAAGAATACATATTAAGAATTACTTCACAGTACAACATAATTTCTCACAAAATGAATACCAGCAATAGTAGACACTGAACACAATTTTAAAAGCCTGTTTAAAATATACGATAACGATAAAAAGCTAAAAAGCAATTGTTCATATACAAAATAAAAGAAATAAGAAAAGTTTTTACACTATAACGATTTGATAACGATTTATCAGTTATGCGATAACAACATATTTTGACAAATCAAATCAGATGACATCATAATCATGGGAAAACATTAAAATCGTAGTAGTAGCAACGATTTTATCGTTTTTCCATGATTATGACGTCATCTGATTTGATTTGTTAAAATATTTTGTTATTTTATACACGATAAATCCTAATCGAATCGTTCTAGTGTAAAAATTTCTCTTATTTCTTTTGTTTTCTATACGAAAAATCGCTTTTTAGCTTTTTTATCGTTATCGTTATTGTTGAAGTATAAACAGGCCTTAACAATCAAATAATTTACTAATAAATGCTGCTCTCAAAAGAAGTGCCTCTCTAGAATAAATAGGATACCATTTTAATACTCAAATAATTTTAAGATAAGCGCTGCTTTCGAATGAATTGCCTCTCTTGGATAAGCACCACACGGAAGCCTTCAGAAAAGTTATAAAGTGCTACTGTACTTTATTATCATAACATGCATTGCAATACAGACTAGCTGTGATGAAATTGTTTCCTTATAGTAGCAAAAGGGCAATCTGCATAGCACCAATAATTATACTGTAAATAAATGACCTGTCACTGTAAAAATAACTTTGATAACAGACATACACATTAATAAGTAACTACAAACTATAATAACTATTAACAAAAGAGTTGAAAGAGCTTCTGGCAATTAATCAATTTGCGGGAAGACATTTTTATATCTTATGATCTGTGAGAAACACATCAAAACCAAATTCTGGGGAGCGTAAG